CTCTTCTCAGTGATGGCCAATGACAGCACAAAGGGCAACAGGTGCAAGCTGGAGCAGAGACGGTTCCACATTAACATAAAGAAAAACTTTTTCACTGTGCAGGTGACAGAGCACTGGAACAGGCTGCCCAGAGAGGTTGTGGCGTCTCCTTCTCTGGAGACATTCAAAACCCACCTGGATGCGTTCCTGTGTGACCTACTCTAGGTGGTCCTGCTCTGGCAGGGGGGTTGGACTAGACGATCTTTCGAGGTCCCTTCCAACCCCTAACATTCTGTGATTCTGTGATCCCAGCAAGCATCGTTGGGATGAAGTCCTGCACACTGTACTCCCTACATTAATAAAGATATGCAGAGTACTTTGTCTCGCTTTCTTTTCTAATACACAGTGTGAATGCTTCATCATCTTACTACATATTTTTAGTGACCTATTATCCTAGCATATTAGATTTTTCAGATTAGCAAAAAGTTCTTCCAAATTCCCTAGGAAATAATGGCTTAGACAGTTACTGGGATACTACCCTCAGACAACGCACCCTTAGAATTCAATCTAATGAATGACCATATATCCTTTGAATGTCAACACAATTTAGGTCATCTCACAAATTTCCAGAGAAACATACCAATGCACTTATTCTACAAGCCATGAGATGGCTGGATGAACTCCCCCTTTGTCCTGGAGGAAGCAGGATCCTTCCATTGTCATCCAAGTGATGGAAGTGACCTCTTACCGACACACCGTTGTCAGACAAGTGCCTGACAATTTTACAGACAAATAACTGACAACAAGAAAGCTGCAAATGATGGAAAATGTTTCCCTATGTAACATCAGGTTTAAAAGTGTTTTAATATAGATTTACAGAGCTACACTTTTTGTCCCAAAAATTAGAGGTGCTGTGACAAAAGTATAGAAAACAAGCAACATTCAGACAATGAATGGCAATATCTGTTCTCTCAGAACAAGAGGATATTCAAATTAAAAGTTGGAAAATTGAGAATCAATAACAGAATTCCTATTTTTACAATGTGTTCTTCAACAGTGGAATCACAATTACTGGAAAGTATTGAGTCCAAGGACTTAATGTCATTTTAGACGGAAATTAGTATTTAGATGAATCAATAACATTGAGAGCTCCAAGAACTTAGAAGAAATATTTACGATATATTTAAGCCAGTATCTATTAGCATTCAGAATGATTTCTGTGTTAGACATGCATTATCCCCTATTTAACCATTCCAAGGCTCTCAGTTCTTGCTTTGAAGCACCTACCGGACTCTCACAGAGAACAAATACAGGCTTGGAGTACATGGTAAATACTACATGCCTGCATTTTAAGGAGTTTTTATGTAAGTATATATTTCCTTTAAACCCATACAAATGGGTTTATTTCTACTTACACTATTTTAGTTAAATGGTAACAAAGGCCTATGGTCCTAACTGTAAAAAAAATCTTCAGAACTGAACAATCTTTTGAATCCAAATCTAACGTAATATGCCAGCATACTATGTATTTTATCAAACAAAGAACCTCAAAACATAGCATATAGACTTTGAGTAAAAATAATTATTTGCTCATAGGTGAGTGACAAAGGATGAAGTAGCAAAACTAACTTCTCTAGGCAAAATGATTCCTGAGGAAGAACAGTATATTCTGATGGTGATTACAAGAGGCCCAGGTTTTAAATACTGCGGAAGTGACTTCTATCCAGCTGATTTTCTTTGTAATCATTACTTCAAGGACATATACTAGTGAGGCAACTAAGCTGAGAAGAAGTGTGGCTCTGATCACAGTCCAATTCTGGATTTTTTTTCTTTCTCCCTATAGGTTCGTGGTAGCTCTGCCTCCTGTAGCCTCCATTGTCTAAGGTTGCAGGGAGACAACTCTCTTCCCAGAAGGGATTCAGATGCCATTCCAACAGTGTGCTGGGGATCAGCTCCAGAGAGAAGAGGGACTTAATGGCAGCTCTCTAATAGTGAGAAGTAGTTAAGAAAGGAATAATGATCTTCACTAACTGAGTGACATATTTTTCATACTGTGGGACCCAAGCCCTTTGAAGACGTGCAAGCCAAAGCAGATAGCCGAGATTTCATGACTCCTAGTGAAATGCCTCAGGCACAGGCTGTAGGTCAAAACTGTATCATGCTAGCTTGTGCTCCACTAGGAACGGAGGCAATGAAAAATGTACATAGGTCATATCCTGCCCATCTTCCTCACTTATATGTAAAAAACTCTTTCAGGGGAAGCGGAGGAAGTATTCAGCCCAAAATGAGGAGAGGTAGCAGCAGTCAGTCTTGCATGTTGACATTTGTCCTATCAGTCTACCCAGAGAGTAAGAGGTGACAGATACACAGAAAGCACAGTGAGTGATGGGCTGTGTGCACACTCGTCTATTTCTGAGCTCCCTGCCAAAAGCAGAAGTCTTTCAGACTGAGGTTTTTACAGGCTAGTAAAACTGGAAAAACCAAACCCCATATTTTTTCAATACTAGCGGTAGCTAAAAGGTGCTAAATGCTTGGCCTACTGAGTTTCTCTGATAAAGCTCAAAACGCAAAAGTGACAGGAAATGGATATACCACCAAGTCAATAAAGGGATGATTGTCCACAATTGCTATTTTGACATATGCTAAATGTATGAATAAATAAGAAGCAATGACTGGAGCATGAAATGGCAATACTGCAGTAATTCTCTAGTGAGATTTCTCTCAGATCTTTTCTATATAATTAAGCAAAATTAAAACTTCTAGAAGTAATCAAATAGAACCTTGGAACTATTTTTTAAATGGTACTTAGAAGAAAAAAAAAAAAGACTTGCTAGTTTTCAAGAAATATATGCTGTGGATCAAGTGGGTGGATATGGAGGGAGGACTGAAATTATTTAAGTAGTGTCATGCTTTCTAGTTGTGACTGCAAATGTCAGTAATGTCTCTGAAAAAGAAAATTCTTTCCTGAAGGTTCACATTTAGTTCTGCAAACACAGTCTTCGGTAGAAGAGAAAAAAAAAGAAATAAGAAGAAAGCTCTCTGAGGAGCTATTCAGTTCTCACCCAATTATAATAACAAAGACTGAAACAGGCAGCAAGAATTGAAGCAGATACATACTTAGAGTAAGGACAGAACCAGCATACAGGAGATGTAACTATCAGATCTGGTTTGCTGAAGGTGCTATAAACATGGCAGTATAGGAATTCTTAATGCAATACATACGTGAAGCTAGAAAATGTACTGTACACATATCCAACATCAAATTGTGATCTGGTTTGTACCAACAGATCAGTGGTAGCCAGTCTTAGGTGGTTTGAGCTCTCTGGCTCCTGGAACTTAGCTATATTTATCCTGGCTAATGTAGCCTGTCAAGTGTGTTGATAAGGTGCCGTAGTTGACAACAGTGGGGGATCAAGGGGGAGGAGCAGGATGGGGGCTTCCACCAAGTGTTTCTTTAGGGGGTCTCAAAAGCCCTGCAGTTTCATTCCTGTTTAGCTCGGACCCTGCTTTCTAGATACAACTGGGAGCTTCATCAGAAAGAAAGTGAAGATGCCAGAGCCTCCAAAGAAAACAGGTAAGGATCACAACTGACAGACAAAACCTAAGAACAGCATGACAGAGAAAAATGTGAGTAGATTTTGTACGCTAGGGAAATGAGACGACTCAGTGGAAAAAAAAAAAGTAAGAAAAGAAGATGATATTTTATGAAGTTATAAGAGATGTTGAGTGATCTTGCAGAGAAATCAGTAACTAGTTTGGCAACCCTCAGCCACAGAATCTTCTCAAGAGACTTTGGATGAGGAAAGAATAGAGGCGAAATGCATTTAATTCTCATATTCTTTTAATTTCTCATTTCCTTTCCCAGTCACCTTTAGGAATCTGAAACAAACTTGTAGTCTCTTTCCTGGGCAGTTAGGCAGTATAAACCCCTCCTGGTTTGGTTTGGTTTTGTTTTGTTTTCCCTGATACTTTCAAAGAAGTGTAAGCAGCAAACTTTGATGGTATTTGTTATTAGTGAAATCTCTGTGAAAATGAAAGCAAATGGCAGCTGGTTCAGAGCTTACTCTTTCTAGTTCTTCCAGCTAGTGACAGTGGAGCTCTAGGAAAAAAAGAAGATATTGTACTGTAAGAATATATACGTATTTCTTTTCATTCACCCTCCTCCACCCTTTCCTCTTGAGCCAGAAGATAATTAGCTGTTTTCAGAAAGCCAAGGTCACAGAGCCCAGTGCAAGTCCTGCCCCACGAGAAAAACATCAGGAAAAAATTTCAGATTTAGGAAAATTCTAATTTAAAACTGAGAAATAAGGAATCACTCAGAGGCTGCCCACATAGGAATGAGGAGAAGGCGTAGGATGGGTGTAAGGTGCAATGAATCTCTTTGTCTGAGAAGGAGGAAGAGGGCCTGGGAAGTAGAGGTAGGGAGAGTTTAGCTTCAGGACACCTGTGTGGGAGCGGAGGAAGATGGCTCAGGAGTGCTTTGTGTCCACAACTAAGTTCGGAAAAAAAGTTGTCAAAAGCTGAAGTTATGACTGTTTGAAAAGTGTGCACATATCCAACATACAGGGCTGGAGAAAACTGTACTAAATCTGGGATTCTTCACTTTTAGAGTTCTCACTTCACTGATGCCAGTGCATACCCAGAATCACTACTACTTGAATGTACAGTGCAAGGTGCATGCTTTTTTAATAACATGCATTTTCCAGAGTTAGTCAACAATAGCTGCTGATACTCATCAATGTAGACCTTTATGCTTTGCGAAGGACTGAACAGGCATGAATCTCCTGTTAGGCTGGTCAATGGCAAAATGTCCTGTGGTCACCACAATAAAAGAAGAAGGACTTGTTAAGAAGAACTTCCATTTTGGCCAAAATATTTGGAATCAGCTGCTGCCAGAGGCAGATCACAAATCCAGCCCTTAACTTCCATTAAGAACTGCGAAGCACTAAAGCATAATTAACTCCAAGATTCTTTATGTTCCCTCTATATGGTAACTCTAAAGCAACAGTGGTGTTGCTGATCCTTCAATTTTATCACAACTATAAACATCATTTGACGTTCCTAAAGCCACAATTTCTGAAATCAGATGGAAATAGAGTCGTATATATAAAAGAAGTATATATACCAGACCTTGTAATTGTAGAGAGAACCTTGAAAATCTAAGCTGCAAAAGTTCAGCAATCACCCCAAAAATAAGACATTCGTAATCATATTCTATTTTTAAAGTCATACGATTTTTGAGATTTATTGAAATGTCTAATGCTTGTGATTGACAATGTTGGCAAAAAGCAATATGACAGAGTAGGCAAAATTTGAGAGTGTGATCACCAAGGCATTGTGACTTCTGATTTCTAATGGTTTAACTGCCTTTAAATTAACATTTTCAGTCTCTGTGGATGAGAGGCAACTTCTCTGTTTGTGAAGATGCCCACTTTTGCTAGCTAATGGTGAAAAGAAATTCTATTCCAGCTTATTTTTGCCGAGAAATCTAACAGGTGTCTAACATCACCAGTCCTACATTGTTCTTATGAACAAACCAGCCCAAACACTGTGATTATCGCAGCAGAGGGAGGAAAAGTTCTTATTACCCACTCTGACCGAGACAGAACCAGTCACATGCCCCATAACTTCTAGAGGGGATCTTCTCATTCTCCCAAGAGACATTAATCCCTTTGGTTTTCTATTTCATGTTGTTTACATAGTTCAAGCCATTTCAAGATGGGATAATGTTGAGCATAATCTCAGGCAGGCTGAATAATCATCTAGCAATTTATACAAATGAAAATGCTTCATGTCAGCAAATGATCAGAGATATTCTGCCTATATCTCCTGTTTTAACAAACCTTTTAATATGTTAAAAAAGATAAAACAAACAAAAACCCCACGAAACCTAAAACAGTGAAGTAGATTTTCCAATAGACATTCTTTTACTTTAAACTGTCCAACTAAAATACTTCAGCATAAGGCACTGCTGTATTTATTTACAGAATACCAAAGAACTGTCATAGCTTTCCAGAAAATCTATACACTCCCCAAGAGCAACAGGATTTTGAAGACCTATAGCAATTTAGTGTCAGAACAAACAATCAAACACTGAAAAGCATCACTTGTTGCAGGGTTCTGTTGCAGTAACTTTATGTCCTTCTCCCTTTGATTTAAACATTTCATAGTTAATCTCTGTTCAAAGGCTTGCTTTTTTGAAAGTTTTGATTGCTGTTTTTGTTGTGAAAATTCAGAAAGATGAAAAAAAGACCCAACCATTTTCCTAACAATATTTTGCGACATTAAGATGAAAGACCTGACCTTTTAAACACCACATTTAGTACATAAATGGGACTTAATGGGAAAAGGGTCTATAACTGTATTTGCAAAAGGAGAAGTCTAGTATTACTCCCCTTCTCTGAAAATCAGTAAATTTTTATTCACGTATTTTATAGATTGAGAAGTCTAGATTTTGCAGTTCAAAATAGGAAATTTTATCAAGGGTTTATAAATAACCTGGCTTGTAAGTCCACAGAGCCTTTTGGCATTAATAATAATAGTAATCAATGTTGCATAATGAAGACTAGACCGTAGAATTTTAGTTTTAATATAAGCCCATTGTTTTACATTTGCAAGCACCTAGCACAGTAAAGTACTTCTCCGTGATAATGAACTTATGCACTACAGTAATAAAAAAATAAATAATAATAATTAATATCGATATATTTTCCTCTTTTGTAAGTTAAGATTCAAAGCAAGCTGAACATTATTATCCCCATTTTACAGAAAGTATGATGGATGCATAGAGAGAGGTGACTCTGCTTAGTGAAACTATTCCTTGCATGTTGCTCATGTTACAGGAATTTACAATCTCAGCTGCTGAAGGAGGCAAGGAATGATAAGATTAAGTAGTTCAATAGCTTTTGGATCATGGAATGATTAAGCTTTTAATTGCAAGAAGCCACTTAGGTCCTGACTGAGGAACGAGCAACATCTTTATATAGTTCCTCAGTAAGGAATTTACAAGCTCAGTTACTGAAGTCTGCTTACCCACAGTTTGGCTTTTAATTCAATAGAAGACCAAATGATATAAAGGGAAAACTAGATGCCAAGTGTAAGTGCTAAAGCAAAGATAAATTTTCAACATGAAGCCTTAACAAATTAAGGAATTCCAAAAACTAATACTACTTTTTTAATATTAATTCAATACATTGTCCATATACATATACCAAATACACAGAATGTGCAGTAAGATAACTCAGCTTTGTGGGAGAAAACCTGTAACACTATTTTTTCTAATTACACTTATCAGAGATTTCTGCTGGAGTTTGTACTGTGTGCATTCAACCAGATACATTAGAATCTCCTAAAACATTTATACCTTTAACAGTTTTTATTTCAGAAAGGCATAAATATAATTTGAAAGCCTTATCTAACACACACTCTCCTTAAGTGCTTATCTCCCTCTCTGCCATGTACATACCACAAATAATAAATGACAAGCTGAAGTCAGAGTCACCACTCTGAAAAGCAGCATGAAATTATAGAAAAACCAACAAAGAGAACGGCTCTCCTCTATCACTCTACCTAGTTAAAATCACTCTTGTGGAATCCACACTTCCTCCTTACTTTCATTTCACATATTTCACACATACTTTGAAATTCAGTGATTTTAGAAAAAGGTTTTCACCTAATGCTTGTGATTCTTAAGAAGCCAAATTATTTAGAGAATGTGGCTAGGAAGTGAAATTATTCCAGTTATTTAAACATTATTTTAATATACATCTCATCTCCATTTTTTCTGGCAAGAATCAAATAGGAATGTCTCTTCTAGCTTCTAATACTAACTTCTATTCTTACTAGGTATACAACAGTACTCAGTAGCTACTTACTAACAATTTCATGCTGTAGAAAGACAACAGAAAAACAGTCTCTGCCTCAAAACACTTACAAAATAAAAGCCCAGTAAATAGATAGATAGTTCAACAAGTGAGCAAAGGAACAATGAGTAGTACAATAGATGGTGACTTGGGTAGTAGCTTAGCCATTTTCTAGGTTTTGGCACAGGAGTGTATGAAAAAGTTTTGAAGCAGAATAGTAAACTAGGTTGATGGTGGAGGTTAGAAGGAGATTGCTTCAAAGCAGGTCAGAAATAAGGGAGAAAGTATGAAGGTGTTAGTATGAAGATTTAATAAATGGCAGCAGTAGGAAGGCAGAACACTAGTTTTACTATTTTATTTAGGTGAAAAGTGAAGGAAACCAGTTTTGGAGCTGAAATGATTTCATTCTAGTTTAATTTGGCCAAAAGCAAATATATTTTATATTTCTTCAGCCTCCTGATTGAAAGACATTAAGAAATTGTTATAAAAAAGCAATCTGATCATGGACGTCCAAAAAGAGCTTTTTATTACTAATTAATGAAGCTGTAACTCATGTAACATACATAACTGGTTGGCTGACGTACATCATCAAGTGTTACAAGACTTTTAAAGGATGGGTGCTGCATGCAAGTTCCAGTAGCAGCAGCATTAGCCACTGAAAAGTTTTCTGCAAGACTACTGCAGACCACGCACAGCCTGCTTCCTCTTCTGCCTGAGGTAGAAATTTGCTGGTTTACATTACTCAGAAGTTATATGAAGTTCTTTGCATTATGGAAGCTAGAAGTGATTAGGAAGGTCTGTGATACGAGAAGTGAAGTGCTGAAAAATGGGTTAGTATAAAGTGGGTCTAGCCTCAATTTCTTTCATTAGCTCCACGTCTCTCTTCTCTCCCCACGTTAACTCCCCACAGCAATTCCAATTCCACAAAACACACACACACACAGAGCAACTATTGCTCTCCTTCTGTTCAATAATTCCCGTCATCATTGGCACTGGTAACTCATGTGCGTCTCTGTCCTCTCTCCAGAATTGCTATAGTATATTAGTACTAAAGTCACCTTTCTCTCCCTTTGTGCAGGGTGGGTTAGAATTTACTGGTAAGCAGAGAGTTAACAAAGTGGGCAGCAGAGGACATGGGCTACTTGGTCATCAGATGCCCCAGCCCAATGGCTCCTAAGTGCATGTTCTACTGGAGTCTGGATAAACATGTGATAGTGCCTGAGGTCTGCCAGTGCCTGACAGGCACAAGAGCTGTGAGACATTCCACAACATCACGTGAGAGGTGTCACACTCGCTGGGTTTTCCACAGTCTGATGGTGGTGGTTGTATCCAAGAGTGTTTTGAGTATGGGATGGATATATGGAACTCAGAGGGGCCTATCTGGGTAAAAGCCAAATATTGAAGTGAGAGAGATTGCCAAATGAGGAATGTGTTTCTGACAAAAGCAGGCAAAAGTGACACTCTCAGGTCAGACAGGAAGTTTTGAATGGTGGTGTTTAGGAGCATTCCTAATGAGGAAATAGCTGGGTTAGATTGGTATAACTGCATGAGAAAAAGTATCTGCTGGTGAGCTTGGACTTATGTGTTACTTAAAGTAGCAGCCACAATGAATGAGACTGGGAACAGCTGATCTCTCACTTCTTTCTTCTGTTAAGCAGCACATTTTTCCCCTAGAAGGAAAAATGATGGCATTCTCTTCACATGCTTGTTCAGCAGTGTATCTTCTGCAACAAAGTAATTTCCTGTAAAATCTCTGGCTGCACATAGCTACTTTTCCTTTGCAAAACCAGCAGTGAAAGATGAAAGGGAATACAGATGCATATGGAGAGACACTACTTTAGACACTATCACCCACTGACTCTGAATCTTGAGCACAAGAAAATTACTCCTTTACCCATGAAAAAGTGGGTTCTCAACAACTGTTCTTGCAGGCCTTTATTCACATGGCACATTTTGGACTTTTCCAATTTTATACTTTAGTGGAAATATTCACAATCATTTTAAGTCAGAACTGAGTCTTTTTGCACAAAAGGGAGGGCAGGGGGGAAGACACAGACTTACTTGTAAACTTCTACATACATACTTAGATTTCCCAAAAGTCAAAACCACTATGTGGTGGTGGAGATTTCTCACTGTGCATGCAGTTCCAGCCAACAATCTGGTTTTGTTGTGTCATCTAAAGTAAATGCAAGAGACCTAATCACTTTGCAGAGTGTGCAGCAGATTAGAGTTACTTCCAAGTATGCATGTCTTGAAATCCTACCATTTGTAGGCTGGAACCTTTATGGGCCACACTGCTGTTAAGTAATTAATATATTTATAGATTCTTTTGTGCTTAAATAGAAGAGTGATGATGATAGCACTCAAGAGACAAAAACCATGCCTCTTAGCTGCTTTATCTCTAGTGTCACAGGGAGAGAAGCCAGCTAGTAAGTATTTCAGGAGTGGGTTCCAGAACTGACCTGGCTCTCCACCATGCAGTAGCCTGGCCACCTTTACATGTCTTTTGAATACTGTACATCAAACCTGCTGTCTATGATAACTTCTGCAATTATCCATGATACACTGGGTCAAAGCATACCCTGCTGTGTTGTTTGGTGAAGGGCAATACTATTTCAAAAGATGTGAAGCTGATAACAGGCATTTGAGTATTACACTGTAGTGCAGAGCCCTACATTCTACACAGTACTTTATTCTGTTTAAGAACAATTACACCACTTACAGGCCTGAGGTTAGAAAAAACTCAAATAAAAGTATGCAGGGACATTCCACTCCCAGAGGAAATTTCACACACTTGTATCTTAACATGGAAGAAAAGCACACAGAAGAATACAACACGAGCTCAGTCAAGGCTATAGGCTCAGTGCAAACCAAAATTGTTTTATCATCAAATATATAAAATGTAGAAAAAGAAAAAAGGAAAGAGTAAAATGTAATTTAGGTCTTTTATATAACAAAGAGAGGCAAAATACAATACACACTAAATTCCAGAAGTATTTGTAATTGATACTTTAATAGATGTTTAAGCAGCTTTGAATCCTTTGCAAAACAATGGAAGAAACATGAACTGCATTATGACTAAAGTCCAAAGGCCACCAGATGAAATCTTTGCAGATGTAACTCCACTGAGGTCAATTAATTTATGCAGTTGGAGGACATGCCACAGGAACTGAGATTTTGTGCGCTGAACAGATGGTATTATTAGTAATACACCTTTTACACTAACTAAAGCAACCTTTTGAACATGAATATAAACTATTTCTTTTAATATACTTCCATGCCATGTTTCTTTCATTTTTATAAAGCAGAATCAGAAGTTTAAAGCTAATTATAACCATTGTTGTGGTGTCTGAAAGAGCTCTTGTTGCTGCCCAAGTAGGAGAGCCTTAGACAATTCACCATAGAGGTGACAGATATAATTAAATGTGATGGAATTACTAATTTATTTATTTATTTAATAAAAGCATGGTTATGCAGGTGTAAGTCAATAAAGAGATGACATAATGATGCACAAAAAACATTCAGCGTATGAATCACAATGTTAATTACTGGTATTTTTATACACGAACATAGCTCACGGCATTTAGCAAAAAGATAACATATTAAGACCAAAACATGAGCATAAAATGAAAAATTTGATTCAAAATAAAGTTGAAGAAATCTAAATAAATAAATCAGGGTAAAGAAATTAGTAAAATAAGTCACCTTATTAAAATCTAATCTTGAGAAAGATTAGGATACTCACGGACCAAGATCACGACACATTGCTTGCTTTCCAAATTCCTATCTGTTGTGCTACTCTGATTACATATGAACTAAAACATCACTTGGTTTATGCTTGTTTGCTCATTTATTAATAATTTCATTAATCCCCATTATAAGTATCATAAGTGCTTCTTGACACATAGAGGAAATATTTTGATCCACCTTGATCTAATTGATTAGAAAACTAGTTATTGTACAGTGCTATGGAGACAAGTACTTTAACTTTTAATGCTGAACTAAACATTGGAATACAAACAACAATTGATACTATTTTAGTTGGGATAAAATTACAAGGGTCATCATAGGAACATGCATCCCTTTCCACTAAAGCCTTGATCGGTCAAAACAGAAGGACTAAAGATGAACCATTAATTCATTGTGGTATATTAGGACACAGGTTACTGCACAAACTGCAATTTTTTTTGAGGAACAGCTCCTGATCCTGTTTGACAACTGTATCAAGCAACTCTTAGGACAGAATTAATATTTCTGAATAAAACTGCATGGCAAATCAATGTAGAGAGCTTGATACATAAGAATACATATCATGGCACCTTGTCATAGATCAAAACATTCACTTATGAAAAATCAGAGCTCATTATGGGGGGAAAGAAAGAAGAAGATGGACAGTGAGATGAGTTTGCTGTCCATTCAATTTTATTTCATGACAACATGGAGAAGATATGACATCTCAGTCACAGACAGAAATTGGTAAACTTAAAGACAATTCCACAACCTCTCAGTGGAAGGTGTTGTAATTTATATCTTGCAAGGGCACTTGGGAGAGAAAGGAGACAGCTGTTGCAGCCACAACAGCTGACTACATCAGATATGCCACAATTGCAAAACAGGTTTTAGTGAGCCATCTCTCTTTTTTTAGTTTCTGCATTTACCAAGAAGCCGAAGACAACAGAGGTGACAGCTGGAAGCACAGCTGTGTTTGAAGCAGAGACAGAAAAAGCTGGAATCAAGGTGAAGTGGCAGCGAGCTGGCACAGAAATTACTGCAAGTGAGAAATATGTCATTAAGGCAGAAGGAAACAAGCATTCACTGACAATCAATAATGTAGGAAAAGAAGATGATGCAACATACGCTGTAATAGCTGGAAGTTCCAAGGTCAAATTTGAACTCAAGGTCAAGGAACCAGGTATAGCATTTCCTAAGCAATTCTAACTTCCTTAGTATTTCCAGTCCCACATGCAAACTTAATGAACGAGGCCCATGGAAATTAGCCTATCTTAACACTGTAAAATTTCTCAACCAGCAAAACATCTGTTTTGCCAAAGTATTTGAAACTACTCATTAATATTAACCTGAGGAATACATTTCCTGTGGCTAAGACACCTATTTCCAGATGTCAGAAGTCCACACAGTGGAGATCACAGATGAAATCTCGATGTACATCTTCAGAATTCTCTGTCAAGCTTTTCAATTTAACTACTAAAAAGCAAAGCAAAGAAAAGCTAGTCTAACCTAACCTGACCTAAATTAGGATGCCTGTATCTTAGAAACGGGTAATGGTTTCAAACTGAAAGAGGGTAGATTTAGATTAGATATCAGGAAGAAGTTCTTCACTGTGAGGGTGGTGAGACACTGGCACATGTTGCCCAGAGAAGCTGTGGCTGCCCCCTATCTGGCAGTGTTCAAGACCAGGTTGGATGGGGTTTGGAGTAACCTGGTCTAGTGGAAGGTGTCCCTGCCCATGGCAGGGGGGCTGGAACTAGATGATCTTTAAGGTCCCTTCCAACCCAAACCATTCTGTGATTCTATGATCTTAGGCCTGGGTTGTTTTTTTTTTTTTTAATTTCTTTATTTAAATGCAAAACTGTAACAATTGACAAAAAAATGTACAAGTTATGCTGTAATGTTTTCAACAGCTCATACATTCCCCAAAACCATCTCAAAATCACCTGTTAATAAAAATACATTTTTCAGGAGGGACTTGAATACAAAGAGTAACCTTTGTATTATTTGTATATAACCTTATCATTACTACCCCTGTATGCATTAAATGATCTGTTTGAAAAACTTCCCCAGGGTTTTCCTGGGAAAAACTATAAAGAGCCAAATTCTCTGGAATTTTCTCATGAAAAAATGTCTCAAGATCACAGAATCATAGAATTATTCAGGTCAGAAAAGACCTTTGAGATCATGGAGTCCAACCATCAACCCTACTCTACCAAGTACACCCCTAAGCACCACACCTAAGCGACCTTTAAACACATTAAGGGATGGTGACTCAACCACCTCCCTGAGCAGCCTATTCCAATGCCTGACAACCCCTTCAGTGGAAAAAATTTTCCTAATGTCAAGGCTACACCTACCCTGGAGCAGCTTGAGTCTGTTCCCTCTTGATCTATCATTAATTACCTGTGAGAAGAGACCAGCACCTACCTCTGTACAACATCCTCTCAGGTAGTTGTAGAGAGCAATAAGGTCTCCCCTCAGCCTCCTTTTCTTATGATTAAATAGCCCTAGTTCCCTCAGCCGCTAAGATGCAGAGGATAGATAAAATCACTCGTTTTTTGAAATCTTTTGACATTCCTGATCCCTTTTTTCCCCTCCAAAATGGTCCCCCTATACCACTTCTGGTATTCTAACTTTCTGTTTTTATTTTGGTGAAAAGCCTTAAAGTCAGATCGTCTATATCACATCCTCTCCATTGCTATCACTGTTTAATTCTAACAACATGATAGTAGTAAGATCTCCTGGTCAGCTGAAAAGACACTGGTTAATATTTAACACAAGACAAGACATCCTGTTCCAGATGAAAAGATAGTGCATGACAGGTTATGAGGAAGGGGAAATCCTAATATGGATTAGGACAATTTAACAGCTTTCTGAGCATATAAAAGTATGATCCTGCTGACTATTTGATCCTGAAAGAAAACAGGTATATATTATACTAGTTACATCTTCCTCATTGTCTTTCAGGTTAGTTGCAGGTAGAGCCTGCTATAGGCAGACAGCCTACAAATAACAGTCACTGAATTTGGAAAGTGTAATCATTACCTGAAAGCAATACATCTCTGACAAGCACACACTAGTGTTGGAGATATCAGGATGTCAAAGGAGAGACAATTTTCCTGTATACAATATATATTGATGCCTCAAAATAGCTTTTTCTAAAGAACTACACATTCAAACTATGGGAACATCTATGCTACATGAGTTAGAATAACATTTAGTTCTTTCCAGTAAAAATTCGAGTTGAAATTTATTTGGACAAGATCCATTGGGATACCTTCTAACAATAAAAGTGGTAGAATTTGATAGTTAAGTATTAAAATAATACCAGTTTAAAATCAAAGTTTTCTTTCAAAATGCAAATACAGTTTAGGGTAAAAGGCATAAATTTTCCGAGAGCAGTGTTGACTCATGTTCTTAAGTTCACAGATACTGTCTTGTTTTTCAGATCTTACTACAATTAGATAGTTAAAGAGTAACTGGATTACCCATTATTATTTTCACAAACAATAATAATTTTAGCTCTTGCTTATCAAAAAAATGAAACCTCCCTTTGAGACAGAGGAGCCACTCAAATTAGTCATCACATGGCACAACAGGGCCAGAAATCCCTGGTGGAAAAGACATTGCAAATAGCAGGGAAACTGCATGTAGGTCTTGTGTGAGAGGGAGGCAAGGCCCTTTGGAAGTGGCTCCACTACCTATGGAAAAAAAAAAAAAAAATCTTGCTGCAACAGATCTGCTTCAAGAAATTCTGCCTCCCCCAATCTGCCCCAGTTGCTCACTCCTACTCCCTTTCCATACATTTCTATCTTCTCCAGTGTGCCAAATATATTTCCCTGAATTTGTCTGTGAGGTCATGGTTTAATTGAGAGACCATGACCTTCCATTAGCCAGAGGAAGAAATGACACACGGATTTTTAAAGTACTTTCTCCATATTGATTACTAGCATTGTCTAGAGCTTTTCCCAAGACGCACACAGCAACAGCATTTGGAACACTACAGTCCAACAGCAGAGTTAAACAAGATCTCATGAATAAGCAAACTGTTTAGAAAAATAATAATTGCATCATTTTTCTTTACCTTTTCTATTTAGACCACTGAAGTTAACATCAAATAACAGTATTCATTAGCTGACAAGTTTCTACACATCAAGACTACACAATTTAAAAATCCAGGCATCAGTTCTTTCTAAGCTCAGCAAAAGAGCCTCATCATCCAGCTTCAGTAGGCCCCTTCTCCTTCTGGCACATCCTCTATGTTCTAGGAAACTACAGCTAATTTCTCTGCATTTCTAACTTATATTAAAAGCTGTTCTTTTGCAAAATTTCTTCAGAAAGGAAGTAGAAACATGACTTTCTCTAATCTTGGCTTATATTCATTTCCAGAAGAGAGTGAGACAGTCACTCCTGCAGAAGCTGCTCCAGCCCCATCTGCCTCAGAGTCACCTGCTCCACCAGTAGAAAGCATCCAAAACACAGAAGGTAACAGACAACTAACACTGTTATCAAGTCTGGTTCATTAACAGAAGGGAAGAACAGGAACAGGGAATCCCTGGAGTCAGTGAGGTAGAGACAGTAGCTGAGAGCAGACCCCTAGTGATGAATGACAGGCAATAAAGAATAAGGAATCTCAGAGACAGAAGAAACGCCTTGAGATATTTTGAAATGACTTAACAAATTCATTACATAGGCTGTAACAAGCTGATGCAGAAAGTTCTAACTCATAATTCTGATGTTTATTTCAGTTGCATCTGCTGGGACTCAACCAGAAGAGCCTCTGGACCCTATTGGGCTCTTTGTGACACGACCCCAGGATGGAGAAGTTACTGTTGGTGAGTACAAAATGTGAGTCAAGTGATGTTTGTAAACTGTACCTGTTGCTTGACTATTTAGCTCTCCATGTACAGCATGAAAGCAGTGATAAAACAGATAAATTAAATACTATCCATAATCTTAGTTTAACCTACTTCCCTTCGAGGTGGAAACATCACGTTCACTGCTAAAGTGGCAGGTGAGAGCCTGCTGAAGAAACCATCAGTGAAATGGTTCAAAGGAAAGTGGATGGACCTGGGAAGCAAAGTGGGGAAACATCTCCAGCTACATGACAATTACGATCGAAACAACAAGGTACAATTGGCAGAGTAAGGTTCTCAGTCTTCTAGATGCTAGTCTTTAATGTGGGGAAAATATAAGCTAATACAGGAATGTTTTGCTCTAAGGTACCCAAAGCTACACACAATGCTATACTTACGCAGAGAAGTTTATGTTGTGACCATGCACACAAGAGACAAGCACTACATACAGACTCTTGCATACCGTATCTATGATGAAATGAGAAAATGTAAGGAGGACTAGGGGAGCAGTTTTGTACTGTCTACTGCAGGATTCCCTCCATCTTCCTCTCAAGTAATAGATACTTGTTATATTTAAGAGAAGACAATAAATCAGACAGATATTTAAGTATGGTCTATCTTGGTTTTAATAGATCAAGCATTCAGCTATTAGTGTTAGAATTTATTGTTTGTTTATTGTTGCATTGTCTCAACTACTTTAAACACCTGAGTAAGATCCATTTTTACCACAAATGGATTCAAAGACACACAGCCAGGAGTACAAGAGAGTCTGTACCACGACTGCTCATCCTATGTGGTATATGAAACACTACTACCCTCTCCTGGATGGAACAGAACAGACTTGTTCACATTAGCCACTCCTGCTGAAAAATGTACTGTATACATTCTGGGTAGAGGCTGTATTTATTTAGTGAAAGCTCTATTCGTGTTTCCAGTCTACGTGCAATTAGTGTATGCGATGACTGCACACACCAGTACAGTTTGGTAATACAACACTGTATCCTCTGGAAGACCTGTATTGATAATACTTTTTAGCCGTTCCTACTGAATTAGGGGGTGCATGTAATTTTTATGACAATAAAGTCAGAGAGTTACACGCTCAGGAGGTTCTTAATTCTAAAAGGACAGAGGCACATTTCATCCCCCCTGTTTCTCTCCACACCTTAATATGCTGTATTGTCTCTCTATTTCACCATTTCATTTTCTAACGTGTGAATTGTATCATCGGTGTCTGTTCTAGGTGTACATTTTTGAAATGGAAATTATAGAAGCAAACCTGACTTTTGCAGGAGGGTACAGATGTGAAGTGTCTACCAAGGACAAGTTTGATAGTTCCAATTTCAACCTGACAGTCAATGGTAAGATGAATTCCTGCCACCTTGTTTCTTCCTTTTATTACTTTTTTTCCTTCCTGTATGCCCACCAACAATACTTTCTGGCACACAGGGGCTACCAGACAAGCACAGATCTGATGTATAGAGCTGGAGAGCTACAGATACAATTACAGAGACCCATAGATGAGGATTGGGATGATGGGTTGGCAGAGATATAGAGCATTAGAAGTAACACTTGGATGTAACTCAAGTCAGAACTGTGATGCTCATAATGAAAGCACACAGAAAGATGTAAATCAGCCCAACTTTTCTCTGGCTTTATTCTGATTTCAGATCCACTCCTTCATGATATTTAATTCCACAAGAATAAAAGAGAGGTCCATTCTTACTTTGGCAAATGTTCAGTACTAAAAATGGATACTTGAAAAGAAAAAAAAGGGGGGAAATGGAAAGATTTAGACATGTGACACTATTATCAATTCCTTTCTTTCCAATAAATTCAAGTCATGCGGAAGGACCTTGTGATATAAAATTGCTTTAAGATTAGATGACTAATTTTACATAATACATGGTGCCACCCTCACAACTGCTATACTGAAAAGCTTATCAGCAATTGAAAAGGAAGCACATTTTAACATCAATTTCCCCTAGTGTGGAAGAGCTTAGGTAAAACAGTATAAAGACCATTTCCTGTTTCAGTGGTCCTGTTGAATGGACTGCAACATCAATTTGTGTCCAGCAACCAGTGAGCCTAATATGCAAAGACAAAAGTTTATTGAAGTTACTCAATCAACAGTGTTCATTTTTGAAGTTCACTAGTTGTCTGTAGGACTCAAAAGACTTCAGATCTGTGACTGAGAACAGTTTTTCCCCAGTAGCAGCAGTACGAGTTCTATGCGTACGAACAGAAGCTTAGAACAGAGTTCTCTCTATGCAACACGCTCAATGGAGTTTCTGTACATCTCTACATATTTCCAGGAATTTACCTTTGCTTTCAGAAGATGGATTACAACTTATTATTAGTTGATATCCAGTGGTTTTCTCATTAGGGTTTAAATACCCTGTGAGGCCAGCACTGAAACTAAAATTTACCAGCAGAAGAACTGACAAACAACAGATAAGACAGTTCGTCATGCTGTAGGTTGTTATGAAGCATGAAACAGAGTTCAGTTATACATGAAATACTGGATGTTGAAAGCTAATTAGTGAAGGCAACACATTTAAAGTTGATGCTTCAATCTTTCATTATGTTATTGATCACAATTTACAATAGAAGAACTTTAGGGAAAAAATGATGCAAAGGAAAAGCTTTTAAAATAGCACTGTATTTTTGCATTATTTGACTTGCTTTCCCATTCTTGTTCGTCACTTCTTGTCACATCAGAACCACCAATAACTGCAGACTTGGATATTCGTGCTGCCTTCCGACGCACGTGAGTATGTACAGTAGAAACTTATGTAGATCAGATTATACTTCCGTACGGAATTAATTTTCCTTTCCTAGACAAAACTAACTAAAAGCAAAGCTATTGAACAAACAAGCACAAAACCAGGGATGTCTACTAAGAAAATATTTCTACTATTAAAATACTACACAAGTCCTAGAAACCATCTAAGAGAGTTTAGACTTTGTACTAGCATAACAATCATGCTTGTCTTCGGTTATGCAATTGATAATGTGTATAATTCTACCAAGAACTTCAACACTTTTTTCCCAGACCTGTGAAGAGCACTCCAGACATAGACCAATAGAGAAGGAAAAGATTTTGTGTAGTGCCTAGTCTTGATTTGGTCTATTTGGTCTGGCTTGAGGAACTACACGTACCTTAATATAAACATTTGCTGAACAAGGAAGAGGAGTTTGACGTGAGCTTTGTAAGCAGCATATCATTGATAACATTAATACAGGCATTTTGCTTGTATTTGTTTTCATGTTCTATAATTACATTAACTGAATGAAGACAATGATACTGTAAGCACCTGTGTAAATACTCAGATACATATGTATTAGATATTAAAGACTGCCAGGTATCGCATTGGTGTTTAAAAGGTTATTCTCCCCATGTCTGTAATACTGTCTGAACTGATATATGACTTAAGGGAATGATGTTCCCTTCTATTAGCAAAATTTGCAAAATTGGTTGGGTTTTTATTATTTAGACATTAACAACGTGTTTTTTCACTGCTGAGTACTTCTTCTCCCTTTGTGTAATTCCAATTCTGTTTTTTTTTTATATATATATATTTGCGCAAAGTTACCAGACTAAGAATATTCCAACAGCATCTATTTCTCTAACATAGGACACAAAACATCTGTGGCAACTCCTTGAGTTTTTCCCTATAAGTGCTATTTTTAGAGGAGATTTTTTTTTAACAAAGAACTAAAAAAAGACTTGCAGAATTTATCTACAGACAAATCCATCTCTAGCTAGCTGACCAGCCTCACTGTGATGCCTATTAAATAGGACACTGAGTGCATAGCTGCATTGTGTTACTTCACTGCAGTGAAACTAGGCTTCAAGAGTTTCTCCTCTTGCTAGCACAATGAAAAGAATTTCGAGTCAGCTCAGGGTGAGCACAATGTGAGTAGCTTCAGGCTGTTCAGATTTTCAGTTTCTTCTGTAAGAATGGAACCGAATTTTGAACTGAAATGTTTAAATCTGAAGCTTTGTCTTTGATACTTTCACTCAGGAGCCTGGCAGGAGGGGGACGACGGATGACTTCAGCCTTTCTCAGGTAGCCACTGTCTGTGTCAGCAGACAAATTCAAGCCTAACAATGAACGGTCTCTCTCTGCTTAGGAAAAAAAAAAAAAAAAAAAAAAAAGAAAAGAACCACAGAACTAGCTGCAGCTTAAATTCCAAATAAATCATCATTTATAGTAGGTAGTATTTAAACGAGATGAGTACATACGAGCAGTAATGTGAGTATAAATAATGGAAAGAGTAGTTCGATAGTTCAGTGAGAGGCAGATTCATCCGAAAAGGCATGTGTTTGGCAAGCGGCATCTTCTCACCATTGTTAGAAGAAGAAAACCTAACTTCAAGTTATATGCATGTCTGCTGCCTCAGTTTTACGTTTTCCTTTCCACTGAGCACATCCTGACTAAAATTGCCACTGCTCACAGAAACGTACCAACACCCGTGTATATGAAAATCTGTCGTTTCCTGGCACACTCTTTATCCTAGCAGCATTAAATTCCCCACCCTATCCCTTTGGTCCCAATGTATTCTACCACAACGAAAACAGGAACCTTGAGATTAGACTTAACTCTATGCATGTTAAAGCAATTACTAGGGTCCTATTCTTCAGAAAGCTAAACACTGATTGCTGAGCTTCCCTGAAAATCTAACTACCACCTGGGAAGCAGTAGTGTGACTAGTTATTCTCACAGCTGTAGATTCTGATTTCCTGCGTATTTGATCACAACAAGCCCTTTTCAAATTTGGGATTATACTAGTGATTTTTATGCACATTTTATGCCTGCAAACATTGAAAATCTTCTGAAAGTAGGGAACAAAATGGCCAAAACCACACTTTTTTGTTTGAGCACTAAATCCAGAAAATTATCCTTTCCAGTACTGTACCACCTCGAAAGCAATCACAGAAGTAAAAATGGTACTTTCTTAATAAGCTTTCACAACATATTCAAAATTACACTGATTCAGCATTGTTACTCATTCTCACTAACCTTGCATTGTCAAGCAGCACAAGAAGTTTGGCACTCGTTTCTCTTCCATTTTATTAAGGGCACTGTTAAAAGGCCCAACCTTTATCTGTGAGGCTGTTTTCCGACTTTTAAAAGTATCTGTTCCCGCAATACTGAGCTCTCCTGGCACTCTGTAGGCAGATCGCTCTCCCCTGAGACCGCCAGCGCTGCGCACGGCCGCAGCCAGTATTAGGG